ATACAGAAGTTGTTTGCCTACTAAAACTGGCGCTGCAATTTCAAGAATTCTTGTCCAAGACGTCGATTCGTTTTTATTTAAAATCAAAGGTGAGAAAATTTATTGCTAGGGGTTGTCCTTGTCACTGGTATGACATGCATATTGATTGCTTGATTGAATTGATTGGAAAGGATCGAAGCTTTCTTGAATTTCGATAAAACTTCGAATAAACCCCGGTAAAAATCGAGTCAAATATTGGTCGAGTAGGCGTACATTACCCACACTCAACATTTTCAATTTTCCTCACAATGTTCTTCTAATGACCTTTATCGCAATGAAACCCAATCAAAATATAAGCCTACACAAAGTATCGGTTTTTCAAGCTTTTGAGCCCACTCTGGCTTGTGTGGTAGTCGGCAATTACGAAACACCAGCCAACAAATCCGACCAAGTCGATTAAAACAACAAATAGGCTAATTTATTGTCTACCTAAGTGGACAAGTACAAGTTATTAAACAAATAAATAGCGTTCTAATGTGACATTTGATTGCGTTTTTATTTTTATTGGGCTTGCTTCATTTATTAGGTAGGCAAGGTATTCTCATTTTTATCGGTTTCTCAACAACTGCACTTTACGCTTGAATGTCATGACATTAAAAAGAGCACTTAATTCGAAACGCTCTAATGAAGATTATCCGAATTAACAAATTGAAATATTTATACGCTGGCTTGAACTGATTTTTTTTTGACTGAGCCTATTTCTCATTATTTACTTATATTATATTTCTGAACAACTGCACTTGGCCTTTGCTTTCATGAATGCGTATAAAAGTGCCTCTGTATTAAAATAGTAACATACTTATTTTCAGAGTTGAATGTCTGTAGATCGGTTGCTTGAACACATTTACGGTGATTGAAAATATTTAAAGATACATTGAAGATTACATATTGCCTATGAACTAAGACACTGAGAAAACAATAATATTTGGTAAAACTACTTAGAATGCATTAGTATCAAAGATAATTTTCTCAAAAACTTACAGAATATCTAGCAAATTGCATGGTTTTTCTTTTGGAAAATGGCGACACTAAATTATTGTATATTTAACTGTATTATTACTTTCAAAATACAGTTAATCAGAAGCGCATGGTACCTATGTGCAGTACCGTGTGCAAATCAATCTTCAATATATTTTCAAGTTCGATCGTAATCATGACGAATATGAATCTACTTCAATAACAAACAAATAATCGTATTTTGGGCAGTTTTTTTACAATTTGTTATTGTAGTGTTTGGAGCTTCAATTTTTATTTTTGCCTGCCAAAAAAAGAAGAACCAGTTTGGTTTAATCGTTGTCGAGAAGTTTCTGTCTGCTCTAAAGTTTCTCATCAATTAATTTCTTTTTATGTATGAATTTCATTCAATTTATAGTTGCCATGAAATAAAACGTTTCCATTTAATGTTAATATAACTTGGCTGTGTTTATTCCTTATCATTTGGCTCTGGAAACCTTCAGCTATTTCAAATTATATTGCCAACAGGGATTTAGGTAAATAATTTCTCTAAACTCTATCATTGCGACATTTAAAAATGTATGAATGTGAGTCGTAACACATTCTAAAATATTCAAAATTCAAAACATTCGTTGTAGCCATCAGCGTATACTAACGATAATAACATACACAGTTACATATGTACTTGCTAAAACATAGAAAGCATTAAATCGGATGAATTGCTTACACTTTGTAATAGTTGCTCTCTGAAAAGAAATCCAAAGTATATCTAATGACTTTAGAGCTACATGATTCACAAAAAAAGAGATCAACAAAACTCGTCACCTTAATTTGCAGGGACGATTTATGTCACCTCCATATATTTCTGCTCTTGATTAGACTTTCGGTAAAAATTGAAATTTTACAATGGTCCCAATCTTGCTTTCAAAGTTAGCAATACGCTCAACTGATATATTTATACTTGCCACTTCCCTTAGTGGTGTTTCTTGTGGAATTCGAGTTTTCGACGCTAATTGAAATTTACTACTTTTCGATAAGATAAAAACGGCCACATTTTACTTTGCAGGCCTACCACCTTCTGGTTTCCAAATATATGAATGAATTTATTTTGTGTGTTTCGTGGGCACATATTCAAAGCAAAAAGTACATTTCAAGAAGAAGAAGTTTTTTTAGCATTGTACGAGTTACTGGTTAGAGCATCAAGTGATTTTACTGATGGCCAATACGAGACTTTCCTATGCCGTTTCGAGAGGAGCATGGCAAAGATCAAATATAGATAATATTTTAAACAGCGAGCGTATATTCAAAGCAAAAAATCTATTTTAATATGACCACTGTTTAATCAGGATCAATGGATTAATAATCTGGACATTCTGCTGGACACTAGGAATGTTTCCTAAGGAGCAATGCAAAACTTTTTACACAATTTGCACAACAATTTGATGTGTTGTTTTGCGGTGGCATTTGGAAGTTTAAAGTGAATTAAATAATAGTAGCATTTTTTTTTTCAAATAACATGAATAATAAAGTTTGAAATACTTAAACAATTTCCAAGCATTGATAGCAAATGTAATTAAAATAAATTTACATTGATAAGTTGCCTATGTGACAATATAATTGATACTAACAATTCAAATGCCTCAAAAAAACCAAATTGTCTTTAATTTTTCAGATTTGGAAATCTTTATGCAACCTACACTCGCATAAATTAAATTATTTATAAATTGTTTTCACAATGGTTAATGCTGAACTTTTCTGAGACATTCTACAAAAGGTTTGCAACTAAGAGACATTGAAATTGTATTCGCAATATGAGCACAATACTCCAGAATAACCTCTGCCTTTGTACAATAAAATCAAAACGAGTTGCATCTGAAAGATCAATTGTGTGAAATAGAGTAAAATTAAATTTAAAATGTTTTATAAAAGTAAAGTAGGGCGGTTTTTCCCTAGTATGTGTAAGTATTTTCTTGAATTTAATGTAAAAATAGTCTTATATAAAGCTTCCGTGGAATATGAACATTAATTCGTCCCTATCTATATACAAATGTTGTATTCAACGAAGGCTTCTAACAACTAGCTAGTTTTTTGATATTGTGGAAACCGATTCGGATTTTCATTCAATCAACGGAGCAATCGACTACTTTTCTCTCCAAAGAGGAAATCAGAAAAATGTTGAAAAATAATCGAAAGAAGTTGTTGCATGAAGCGGTATTAAAGATCATCAGCTGTCCTTTATATATTTCCAAAGATTGATTCCAGACATTGTCCTCGGTTCCATTTATTACTACATTTACAATTTGGTTCTTCAATTTTAAAATTTATTTGGCGGTTTTCACCATCCTCAGTGAAATTTAAACAAACAATTGCTAACAAATTCCAGTTAATCCACGAAATTATTCTTCTAAAACACGGCCACACTGTTTCTTGGAACAGCCTGTCATACTAGAACTAAGATTTTTAAAATTATTAAAAACTTATTAAAAATTATTAAAAAGGCAAATGAATGTTTGGGAAGGACCCCAGAATCCCATCTTCCGAAATCTTAAACCCTTTTCACAATTAGGTCCTAAAAATCATTTGGTTGTTGTTGCGGCTCTTAATATGTGACTGAGACATTGATCCCTTAATGGTTGTTCATTTCATTAATAAAAAAACACTGTTTACATTTAAATTGTTTCCCCTATTTTTCCTTTGCATTTATATCGAGATATTATATTTGGTTTGCAAAATGTACACTAAACTGGGTGTTAAAGTTGTATGTTTCTGTCATTTTTTCATTTAATTAATATTTGGTAAATAGAGCTTGGATTGTCTGTATATGAACTGAAATCCAAAGCTTTATTTTTTGATTTGAATAATTTCATAGATTCTTCTCTTATGATCATTATCTTTATTATCTAGTATTTTTGTGTTTTTAAAATCGAAATTATGTAACATTTGGTGCGCGTGTTGCGTTAATGCTGTTTAAATTTCGTTTTTCTCATATGCTCTATTTAAGTATATATTCTTTTCTTCAAATCATAATCTTAAATCACCTTTCCAATTTCTGTCCAATTCAATCCTTTTGATTAGTCTAGTAATTTACTTTCGTATAACGACTATCACTGATCATAATTATGTGTAATGTACCATCTTTGAATGAATTCAGAAGGAAAATATGCCACAGTTTTTAATTAGAAGAATCTATGCAATCGATCGCCAAACTGATCGAGTGGTGAACATGGTTACTTATACATAGATTTATGTGGTTTTGCAATACCTAATTGGCGTATGTATATTTTATTGTCCTACGACAATAATACCGCCTTTCAGATGTTAATTCGAGTGTGACCTTACTTAACTTGCGCCTATTGCGCTTAGACTAGATGTCTCCAAGCTTTTAAAAGTTCGTCTATGGTTTATTATAGAACCAGATCTGAAAAGCTGTCGGTACGTACGGTCAGTACCGCAAAGGCGGACTGTATGTTGTAAAACGCTGAAGACAACATCGTAATTATTCATGTAAATGGAGTATTTCTTTATGTACACAGGACCTGTCTGATGCCGTCCTTAAAATATCTCCATCTTAGGCGAAATAATAATTTTCTTGTCTTTCACACACATACATCCTTGGCTTTTTCAACTTCACGGTGGGCAAAGAAACAACTCACGCGGACAATTCTCTGGTGCGTAAACTGGTTCTTATTTTTGCAAGAATGTTGAAAGTATGTAACTATAACTAGTGCATCTCGATGTGACCTCAAATTAGAAGTACCGGGATGCCGATTTTCGTTGAGTAAAGTTTCAAAAGTCGAATATTTCTTGTTTTTATATAAACTATCGCAATATTATAATTGTTATTGTATTGAGCAACATGCATGATAAAAACTAATTTTAAATGGTTTATTTTATTTATGTATGGAATGAACCGTGAAATTGATTTGGTAGAAAGATTTAGATGTCATCGTAAACATTTTTCATCCGATGGACTTTGACCATGTTAAATTGCGATTTTTCTGTTTCAGAATGCGTATTCGACAAGCAAGTGAGAGAACTGGGCGCCGTATGGGTACCCGACTTGGGCCCCCCGATTGGAGTTTTACCTTGCATGAGATGTAAATGTGTTCCGGTAAGTATCCAGCTAACTAAATAACGTTAAGGTTTTTATTGCCATCCACGCTACTGTCTTCTGAGGACAAATTAGCACTACGCACTTTAATGACATGAAAAAAACTCGAGTCTCTGAACTTCAGGCTATTCGAGAGAAGCATTTCTATACTTGGATAAGACCAGCACTGAATGTTTAAATAAGTTTATGAATAATGCAAGGCTACGTAATTTCGCACAAAACTGACAAATATGGGTTTAGCTTCTTGTACACTTTTGAAAACCTAATGATGGTATAGCTAGCCCCGGACATACAGTTTTAATTTGCTTTTGTGATGGTTTGTATAGCAAAATATTATTTATTTTTGCATTATTTCTGTTAATAGTAGTAGATTTGTAATAGCAATCATATAAAAGTCAAGATGATTTTATTATTTAGAAACGAAAGAAAAAAACGAACGACGAAAAAAAATAGAAACAAAATCTTAGCAACCCATAAACTCTCCTACTAACTACATTTTGCAAAAAATGAAGGAAATAAGGTTAATGCTTCTAAAGAAACTGTTCTTACGAGAATGCGGAAAGATCCACTTGTCTCAGCCTACACTTAATGGAAACTAGCTGAAATAGTATCCAAAACTGGTGGATTCTTCGGGATTTTTGGCACTCGTGGAAAAATGTTTTTGAGACGTTTCATAGCATTGCATCTTCAGAGGTGTTTCGTTCGAATGGCCACAAAAGTAACTTTTGTAAATAATTTTTTATTACTATCTTATCATTGTTCTGGCTGATGCTTTTTCTATTGTTTAATTTTTTGAGTGTGAATCTTTCGGTATATTTAAAATATTTTTTGAAAATTCTTACTTAATTATCTATTATTTTTGTGTAAACATTTATAAAAAATGGGCTTTCAACTAACCATTATCAACTAGAGAGCAGAAAGTATTTTGCATTAAGAAAGACTATTTATTTCAATTCAATATAGATACTGCCAAAATAGAGCTTCATGACGAAATTTATAAGAAAAATATCATCAATTTCATCTGGTGCAACACAGTAGGAAAGGTCAATGTGGCATTATTAAGGATATTTTTAAAAATGTACTTTTTTCGATTTATAAAATAAATAATTAAGGCCGTGACCCAACTGAATCTTAATAGGAAGATGCCGGTTATTTCAATATACATATGTTTTGCAAATTTATTTCTGCATCCTCGGGTTATTTCATATTAGAATTACCTTGTTATTGATATCGTTCAGTACCATATAAAAATGTATACGCAGGTAGACGAGACAAATTGTGTGACATTTTTGACAAATGGTATAAGAGTTAGATAACGAGTGAACGAAGTGAAAAATAAAAATTTGAACACAGATAGATACATAATGAATATTAAAGTGATTACTACGTGTTCATTTTCTTTTTATAAAACCTTACTCGATAAACAAGGAAGAGTAGAAGGCAAACATTTAATGTAGAAAATATCAACCAGTGGCTAAAAGGAAAAAATCAAGAATGGGATCAAGAGATCAGTAGAATGAACCAGGAAAGAATTGTCAGAATAGCAAGAGACAAAACCAATTGGAAAACGAAGTATTGGACGCCCAAGGGAACGCTGCGGCGATAATATCAAGAAACTAGGCAATAAACCGAAGAAGGAGCAGGTATGAGGAGCCAATAACTGAAGAAGGAAGAAGAATAAGAAGTGCTTAAAATTCAAATGATGGGTGTAATGAGCTAAACAACTTCTATCATGTTTGGCCAAATTCGTTATTTGATAATGTTTATATATTGTTTGAAGACTTACATAAGAATTCTCGATAATGAATAAGATCGCAAAGTCATTTCGACTAACTAAGAACTTTTTAGCAGCCTCTATACGTATTCAAATATGTACATCTTTAATAGAGGTAACGTGCAGGCCTGAAAAACCATATTGAATAATTTCCCGGTTTGATTTAATCTGTGAACAGGTTTTCATGTGGTTTCCATGATGTTAATTCATACGATTTTCACTACATTAGTTCCAATAGTCTCTTCCTTTTTATAAACTTTGATTAAGTATTAAATTTCACTATTCTATATGTACCATCCATCTCCTTTAATATCATTATCATAATCATAATCAGTTAAAAGTCGCTGTTTCCCCAATATGGTGATTTAAGGAGGATTTAATACATATTTTAAAAACAAAATAAAATACGAACCAGACCTGCGGAGAATAAGATAACGGGAAAAGAATTTAGAGCTTTACACTTTCAACAGAAGAGCCACCCACCTTTTGTGGTGCAAAAGTTGAAGTCAACTTCAACAAAACTCAAAAATGAATATTCAGATTCGGATTGTAGAAAAAAGTTAATTTTGTTTTATTAGAGAATATTGCGTAGAATAATTGAAAGAATTAGCTGATTCTTCAACTATCGCGGTTAATATGAGTGACAAATAATTCATTGTAATTCGAGACACACTTAGGAATCACGATTTGCAGATTAAAATTGATAATGGGCCCATTCGGAACGACGAGCTGAAAAAGTTTATGAAACAATGACGTTACCTGAAGTAACTTTAAAACAAGAAGATCCGATTTCAAATACTAGTAAAACGGTAAGCTGCCTTCAAATTAAATGGGAGCATCATTTGCTGTGAATGATTTTGAATTTTTGCTCGCCTGGTCAGCCACTTAAGTTAACCAGGATTGCCTACATGGTTCACCTACCTACTCAACGGTTCAATATGATTGACTTCAATACTGTTCACACGTATTGACATTCGCTCAGGAAACTGATTTTTAATATTTTATATAATATGTACGTTGATTCAATAGCCAGCAGGAGAGTTTGATGGTGCGCAAAAGTATAACTTATGATCAAAACAAACCCACATTCATATCTGCGAAAGTCGTTTATAATAATTATAGCTTCAGTATACTGTAACCATGATTCTTTGTATATACATTTTCCATATTCACAACTTGCAATACCTTCCTGACTGCAACCACGTTGCTTCAAATTATTTTTAGCACCAAATCATCATTTTATCGTTGGTCAGCAGTATGATTGCAGCAAATATTACGTGATTAGTTACACATCAATCTCAATTCTCTATTGAATAAAATAGCAACAGCTTAACCACATTTCCGCTGCAGTAATGTTCAATCAGGACGTTATTTTTACTTTCGTTTGATGAAATGAATCAAACAATTAAACCTATTTATAATACGAAAAAATCGATTCTAACCTACTGACCATCTGATGCTCCACTTTTGCGATCATAATCAGATGTCATTTCGTGGGCGAAAGGTCAAGTTTCGAAGGTGATGTTAAGGATGGGGGCGGTAAGGTAGAGGTCAGCAGGGTCGTCGACCTGCAACTGTTTCGCAGGATGCGCTGTGATTGGGCTGTGATCTACCGGCATCTGTTTTAGTGGTATGGCGCAGCCCACGTAACCCATTTGGCGATTTTATGCAAAAGTATCTTGATGTCGTAGCCACTCATTAGGTGTACCGAATTATGATAAACATCTGACGCGCGAACGTCCGTTATCTCTACTTTATTACTATCTTAATTGTGGTGTTTCGGTAAAATATTATATCATAAATAATCTTGATTTTTTCTTTGGTTTTTACTTTTTGATTCAAACGGTCGACCGTTCCCGTTTTCATCTCAAGGTCTGAAATAGACTTAAATGCTGGAGTAATTCCACTGCAACTATCCCAAACAAGATTCCGGCTACGCAATTTACCTTTCATGTCAAACGTATAGTTATACTATTTAAGTCAATGATATCATTGTTTCGATTCACGGATCAGCTTATATTTAAGACCAACCAACATCAATTTTATTTAGATCACGTTTGTGGTACAATTGGAAAACAATTACGCCACGATTTTTTTCTTGACTCAGATTAAAGACCAGTTTTGGTGTACTAACAAGAGCAAATTATCTGCGGTTTTTCATGCTTTTGAATGCATTGCTTTGAAACTGGTTCAAATGTAAAACGTCAAGTTTTATGCGGGCGATATATGCTAAAAGTAAGAGATGCAATTTGTGCTACACCACACAAATGGGAAATTCTTGCTTTTCGTTAATAAATCAAATTAAATAAATGTACAAGTATGCAGGCATTTCCAACACTAGGCTTTTATTTGACAGGATTTGTATAGACTTTGGCTTGGAACATTGTGTTTCACTCAGGCTGTACTATAACTATGAAGCATTTCTTATCTCAGAGCATGTCTTTTACTCTTGAGAGCTCTTACCATGCGAGCGGATTTTCATCGACTGACAATATTGCCGGTTGAAATACAAATGTTTTTCTCTGCATATTTGCAAGTTTGGCCAATGGCAAATGTAACCGAGTTTCAAATTGATTAGAGGTTGGGTTTGCTGCCAAATGTAATAATTATGTCATCCGCGGAAATAATTGTTACTTTTTATGTCCTCACAAATAATTTTGTAGGAATTGAAAGCTGTAGCCTTCCCAACTTAGCATAGAGGAGATTTTTTGAGAACCTATTTTTATCCATTTACTTTCGTGTAGACCCACAAGCAATTGCAATATTTGCAACAGCAAATGTAACGTAAGTTGATACAGCATTACAAATTTCTAAACGATCAATGTTATTATTTACATAACATTTTTCACTTTTATGTTGACCTTGCCTCACTGGTCATCCGCACACATTTTTAGCAGCAGTTAAAATAATTAGAAAATTTGGATTTATTGAGTGAGAGTGGAAAATATCGATAAACTCAACTTTTTCATGCAATTTGCGTACAGAGCATATATTTCATGTCTTGAAGCCGTTGTAGAATCGAATATTTCCTTCGTATGAAAATCTACAAAGTTTAAAATATTCAATTATTTTGTGGGAAAGGGGATTATACCTTAAGACACTGCGCTGTACGAAATTGCAAATAGTGAAGCGACATAATGGTGAGGATTAGAAAGAATATATCTACTATAAAAACTATGTGGAATGTTACATCTAAATTACTAGTTGCTAAATGAACAATTGTAGC